GAGGACTTATGCATATGTCCTTCTTGGTACTACTTTGAGCAAAAAAAAGCCCCTGCTTAGAACCTAACTGTGTGACGCTATTAATGTATTGTAAAAGGCCTCATTCTAAAGAGTAGGTAGCCTTAGTGTATGGCCTGTAAAGCATTTTGAGAGCATGAATTAGAATACTTAGAACCTTATACAATGTAAGTCTTAAATTATTGTTACTTTATAGAAGATATGTAGGAGACTACTCATTCCTTTGCCCATGACGTTCCTGGTTTTTGCACTAAATGTAGTGCATCTGGGAATATCCTCAGCCCCAGACAAACCAGGACAGACGATTGACCATACTCATTCAAGACGGGGTATTTGGGACATAATTGCATTCTATCCTGGAAAACAAAGTTTTCTTACTAGCATTGCAATACTCACCATCTTTACTCTTAATTTCATTTATGGGTTTGAAGCCTTGATCGCTTTATAGTTATATGCCATTCTCTGCCAGATAAAGTCCTGCTGGGTCCAGGATTTGAACTGCGTAGTTGACCCATATGGGATCCAGCCACCTTAAGCATTATGCCACCTGCTAGCCCAGGTTCTGTTTCTTTGGAGAACCCTAATTAGTACTGTACTCAAACACTTCCTCTACAAGCAGCCAGAGTGAGGTTCCAGCACACTGTGGCCCAAATCCCACCTGTGCTAAAATCCTATCAGAAGCTTCTTATCATCTGTGAGATAAAGTCCAGGAACCTTTTCTCGATAGACAAGGTGCTTCTCTCCAGCTTCATCTGCACCAGCTGCTCTCAGCCTCCTCTTGGCCCCCTTGGAACATGGAACAGCTAGTAGTGTTTTGCACAAATTACACACCTTTGAACCTTCAAGCAATGCTTACACACCTTAAAAAGTCTTACTTTGGGGCTACAGGCTGCATGGTAGTTAAGGCCCTGGACTCTCACATGGCCAACCACAGTTTGGGTCCCAAACCTGGTGCCTTACTTCTTTCTCACTTTTTCTCTTTTTCTCTCTGATCAAATTAAAACATAAGAAGAAGAAATAAAATTATTTCTTTTTAAAGGAATTATTTATTTTATTTATTATTACTATTATTTTAAATTTGCTATAGGGCACATATGCTCACCAGGGAAAGACAGAGAGAGAGGGAGGGAAAGTGAGAAAGCCAGCTACCAGGTCTGGGTCTTGAATCATGATTGGCCATGTGGGAGTCCAGCACCTCAACCACCACACCACCCGCTGGCCCGAATAAAGTCTTGCTTTTTCAGGAACATTCTTTAGAAATCTGTAACTTAAAAAGCAGGGCTGTAAAAGTCATGCTGTTATGAATTCTCTCTGTGCCCCTCAACTGTTCTCCTAATCTATGTGTAAATATTTGTAAGATTTGACCCAGGTTTGATCTACCCTCAACTGCACTCTTGTTGTCGAGATCTCTTCCTATCCATCCACCAGTGCACTGAAGTACTAAAATTAAACATGCGAATATTGCAAAGGAGACACATTACCGAGGGTTCCCAGGGCATCATGTGCAGTTGTGCAAGTTGTGCACTATGGTTAAATGTATCACAGCATGTGCTATACTGTTTTTGTTGCTGTTATTTATTTATTTAAATGTCGCGTGACCATCCCCCCTGGGGGGTGATTTCTCGCTTTCTGTCTCTATGTCTCTCTCTGTCTGTCTGGCGAGTGCACGCGCCCTATAGCAAAAACCTCTCCAAAAAAAAAAAAAAAAGGGATGCTGGGAAAGTACAGGTGCCATAGCTGCAATGATGAGGACTTATGCATATGTCCTTCTTGGTACTACTTTGAGCAAAAAAAAGCCCCTGCTTAGAACCTAACTGTGTGACGCTATTAATGTATTGTAAAAGGCCTCATTCTAAAGAGTAGGTAGCCTTAGTGTGTGGTCTGTAAAGCATTTTGAGAGCATGAATTAGAATACTTAGAACCTTATACAATGTAAGTCTTAAATTATTGTTACTTTATAGAAGATATGTAGGAGACTACTCATTCCTTTGCCCATGACGTTCCTGGTTTTTGCACTAAATGTAGTGCATCTGGGAATATCCTCAGCCCCAGACAAACCAGGACAGACGATTGACCATACTCATTCAAGACGGGGTATTTGGGACATAATTGCATTCTATCCTGGAAAACAAAGTTTTCTTACTAGCATTGCAATACTCACCATCTTTACTCTTAATTTCATTTATGGGTTTGAAGCCTTGATCGCTTTATAGTTATATGCCATTCTCTGCCAGATAAAGTCCTGCTGGGTCCAGGATTTGAACTGCGTAGTTGACCCATATGGGATCCAGCCACCTTAAGCATTATGCCACCTGCTAGCCCAGGTTCTGTTTCTTTGGAGAACCCTAATTAGTACTGTACTCAAACACTTCCTCTACAAGCAGCCAGAGTGAGGTTCCAGCACACTGTGGCCCAAATCCCACCTGTGCTAAAATCCTATCAGAAGCTTCTTATCATCTGTGAGATAAAGTCCAGGAACCTTTTCTCGATAGACAAGGTGCTTCTCTCCAGCTTCATCTGCACCAGCTGCTCTCAGCCTCCTCTTGGCCCCCTTGGAACATGGAACAGCTAGTAGTGTTTTGCACAAATTACACACCTTTGAACCTTCAAGCAATGCTTACACACCTTAAAAAGTCTTACTTTGGGGCTACAGGCTGCATGGTAGTTAAGGCCCTGGACTCTCACATGGCCAACCACAGTTTGGGTCCCAAACCTGGTGCCTTACTTCTTTCTCACTTTTTCTCTTTTTCTCTCTGATCAAATTAAAACATAAGAAGAAGAAATAAAATTATTTCTTTTTAAAGTGAATTATTTATTTTATTTATTATTACTATTATTTTAAATTTGCTATAGGGCACATATGCTCACCAGGGAAAGACAGAGAGAGAGGGAGGGAAAGTGAGAAAGCCAGCTACCAGGTCTGGGTCTTGAATCATGATTGGCCATGTGGGAGTCCAGCACCTCAACCACCACACCACCCGCTGGCCCGAATAAAGTCTTGCTTTTTCAGGAACATTCTTTAGAAATCTGTAACTTAAAAAGCAGGGCTGTAAAAGTCATGCTGTTATGAATTCTCTCTGTGCCCCTCAACTGTTCTCCTAATCTATGTGTAAATATTTGTAAGATTTGACCCAGGTTTGATCTACCCTCAACTGCACTCTTGTTGTCGAGATCTCTTCCTATCCATCCACCAGTGCACTGAAGTACTAAAATTAAACATGCGAATATTGCAAAGGAGACACATTACCGAGGGTTCCCAGGGCATCATGTGCAGTTGTGCAAGTTGTGCACTATGGTTAAATGTATCACAGCATGTGCTATACTGTTTTTGTTGTTATTTATTTATTTAAATGTCTAGTATCACAGCATGTGCTATACTGTTTTTGTTGCTGTTATTTATTTATTTAAATGTCTCTTTATTTGTTGTGGTTTTCAGGTTACCAGGTCCGAGACTTGAACTGCAGTTGGCCATGTGGGAACCCAGGGCCGCAACCACCACACCACCTTCTGGCCCCTGTTTGCTTTTTATCTTTGCCATAGGGCACAAGTGCTCACCAGAGACCATTTGGGCCTCCAGCACCTTAACCACCATGCCACCTGCTGGCCCCCGTTGATACTATTATTCTTCAGGATCTGGCTCCCAGTCCTTTAGTAAATGGTAAAAGTAAGAGCTCTTTTCCTCAGATCACCTGCTTGAGATTTTTCTTCTTAGCACCTTGCTAATTAAAAAACGCCGTACACTTTCTGATTAGGCCATTGACATTTCTTTCCAGTAATTACAAAGGAACTTAAATAACCACGCTAACGGACACCTCTCTATTAATCTAAAGTGTAACATACGGTGAGTTGGATGCTAACACTACAATCATCTGTAGAATTCATTACGTGGAGAGTGTGTATGCTCAGGAGACAAATGGAGAAACTGGGACCCCACTTCGGAAGTATAGGGTCTATCGGAGCACAGAGGAAGCGAGGCAAACTAGCTGGCCACCCAACGTCACACATTCCATGGCATTTGGAGAGGTGGTGGGGAAAGCAGGTTCCCTAGTTAATTTCACACTCCCTCTATACATTTCAAAAACAAGGTGTGACTCACCAGCCAGATTTTGAAAAGCTCTCCAGAAGGCTCAGTGCCAAATAGCGTATTCTACAAACTCTCTGGCTTATAGGAGTTTTCTATTTTCTGGCAGGATCCAAATCTCTGTTCAAGCAAGGGCTTCATGCTTCTTGAAGGCTGTTTCCTGCTCATTGAGGCTGAGCTCCCTGGCTTTTGTCATTCAGAGTGTAGGCATGTTGGGGGCACATCTGCGCTCTATGAAACCCAGGGAAATGTGCTGAAATGAAAGGAAAGAAGGAGACAGCCATTTATACAAGCCTCCGTGGGAATCCCTCCTGACTGCCCTAGGAAGCCCTATTATGGGCTGCATCCGACATATAGGGGACATGAAGTTCAGGGGGGGTCATCTTGTCCTGACCACTCTGTTTCTCCAACAATACACCTTATCTGCTCTGAAAGACCCAAGAAGTCTTGACAGAGGGGATGGAGGGGATGGAGGCCCTCTCTGGGCACTTCACCTCTGCTAGGCCCCCCAACCACCTCCTCCTTGCTGCAGTTGCCCCAGGTTTGTTTTCTTTGGCTCCCTCATTAATGAGTTCCACAGGACAACGCTAAGTCTAGTTATTCAGCCTTAATTGGTTTAGTTACAACAAGATAATTCCTTTTTTCTTCTCTTGGAGGCCTTTCTGTTTAAAGACATTTTAGCTGGAAGATGCTAATTATCAATGAGGAGAAAGTGACACCTGAAGAGTTCATTTTCCATCTTGGTCCTTGGGTTTTCCTTTGAACTCACTCCACCCAGCCCTCTTTCCCACTTCATCACTTCTCCCCCACTATCATAAAAGAGAGCTCTTCCCGGGTGAGGACGGCAGAACTTTCTTTCTCACTTGCAAGGAGTCATTCCCTCTGCAGCTGTCCTGCAGGCATGGACAACCTGCGCGAGACCTTCCTCAGCCTCGAGGATGGCTTGGGCTCCTCCGACAGCCCAGACCTGCTGTCTTCCTGGGACTGGAAAAACAGGGTGGGGCCCTTTGAGCTGAATCAGGACTCCCCCACTCAGAGCCTTTCCCCAGCTCCATCCCTGGAGTCCTATTCTTCTTCTCCCTGTCCAGCTGTGGCTGGGCTGCCATATGGGCACGGTGGGGCCAGTGGTGGGGGTGGTGATGGCTGTAGTGGCCTTGGGGCCAGTGGCCTCGTCGAGATGGACTATAATATGTTGGCGTTCCAGCCTGCCTACCTGCAGGACACTGGAGGCCTCAAGGCCCAGAAGGGCACCAAAGTCAGGATGTCTGTCCAGCGGAGGCGGAAGGCCAGCGAGAGGGAGAAGCTCAGGATGAGGACCTTGGCTGATGCTCTGCATACCCTCCGGAATTACCTGCCCCCTGTCTACAGCCAGAGAGGCCAGCCGCTCACCAAGATCCAGACGCTCAAATACACCATCAAGTACATTGGGGAACTCACGGACCTCCTCAACAGTGGCAGGGAGCCCAGACCCCAGAGTGCATGAGCTCTTCCTGGGGAGACTGACCAGTGCCAGCCCCTTGGGCAGGAGTCGAAGAGCTTTAAGGACCTGGAGCATCTCATGGGACAAAGCGCTGAGTTATTTTGAGTTATTTTGGTAATCCTGTGATCTGAAAAACTCCAAGGAAATTTCTGTGTGAACTGTTGGAATGGTCAGAACACTTACCTACCAGACGAGCAGATACTTTCCTTTCCAGTTTTTCCTCGTCTCTCAGGAGACTCATCTTTTGCCAAGAGACAGATTACTTTGCCCTTCTCTCTCTGTTCAAGGTATTTTGAAAGGTCAATGATTTTAAATGCATTTTTTTTCTCAATAATGTCAAATTGTCATAATTGATCTATATTTTGGTATTGGGGGTTTTCTTTCTGTTGCTAACTAAGCCTGTATTTTGTACAGAATCTACTGTGATATCTGGGATTCTTTTTTAGAAATATTCATGCCAAGTAAAATCCTATGGTGCTACTGTGTATGCGTGAACATGTGTGTGTGCACAAGCACATGTGTGTTCGTGCTCGTGTGTGTGCATGTGTGTGAACGTGTGTCTGCCTGAAACATGCTTTACTTTTTAAAGGGACCAAAATCAGTCAAATGCAGAGAGGACTGGTGTCATGGCAAATAGGAAGTCAAAGGCAGACAGGCTAGGTTAAGACAGAGTGAAATTTCTGAAGATCAGAGTCTCTTCGTTAAGAAGGGGAAGAAGGTTGCATACCCAGACTGCTGGTGAGGCAAAGAATGAGGGTATCAGAAGATGGGGGCAGACAGCACATTACTGCAGGGTGGCCCTGAAGCAGAGCTAGAGGGCAGGAGCTCCTGTCCCTGTCCTGGAGTGAGTATGATTTGATTTAATTCTTTTCCTTATTGGTTTTTCAAATGAGGGTTTGGCTCAAAACAAAACAAAACCAGATAGACTATTTTCATTACAGAGACTAAGTGAAAGGGGCAGGATTAGAACTCATGTCAGCTCCAACCTCTTTGAAGGCATTTACTTCTTTATTTGCCACGTCTGCCCCCTCCTACCTCCCTACCCTCCTGCCCCAAAGCACCCCATATGCACCCATGCACACACATACACACACACCCTCTGTAATGCCTTGTTTTAGGATAGCAATAGGCACCCTTAGGTTTCGCTAATTTGAATGTTGAAGGACTTTGAAAAGCCTTTCTTGAAATAAGGAGTGTATCAATAGGCTTTTGTTAAAGCTGGATTTTTCCCCTTGTGGTTACTAACTATTTGTGTGTGCTTTTCAGTGGGTCCAGCTGCTTAGCTCTCCTGTCATTTTTTTTTTTTTTCCTGTTGGTGATCTTCCTTTTTTTAGTGACAAATTACAAAGGCAATAGATGGACTGTAGTGGACTTGGGGCCAGTGTATATATATGCATACATGCAGCATATGTATAACTTCATATTTTGCCTTTGCTGATACAACCATACAAATAAATATGTGCATGCATACCTTTTTAAGAATACCTTTAATTATGCAAATTTTATCTTTTTTTTTTTTTAACTTAGTAATGTAAAGCAAAAATCCTCCCAGGTTAACACAGAATCTGTGATGTAAGTATGTAAGTACCGTTATTACTTCCATTTTGTAGATGAGGAAACTGAAGCACAAGTTTCCAGGAGTCACACACATGAAAACCGAGGTGGAAAGGACAGCTTCCAGCAATGTTTCATAGTGCAGGTCTTGCATAACTTCTGTAACGAGTTACCTTTTGGATGATATTTAGATTTTCAGTTTTTTCTTACGAAAATAGACTGTACCAAATATCATGGACAACTAGCTATCGACACAGATATTTTAATTAGTCTGAAGAAATCCCAGGAAGAACATGTCTGCATCAGAGTGTATGTACATATTAAATTTTAATAAACACCATTAAACTACTCTTATAAATGTTTTAGTTATTTATACTCCTCTGAATATTATGGGATAGAACTTGTCCCCACACTGTCACTGGACATTATTGACCTTATGCATTTCTAAAGATTTAAAAATGGTAATGTCATTTTTGTGGTAGTTTTAATTTCCACATCTATTACTCAAGATGAAGTGCCTTTTTAAAAATTTTATGTGACTATTGTTAATTTGTTTTATAACTTGCCAGTTTATGTTCTTTGCCATCTTTGTATTAGGTTATTATCTTACTAATTTAGGGAAGTTGTTTGTATATTATATATGTTGAAATATTTCCTTTCAATCCATTATTTTGTCACATGCTCTTCTAAGCTGTCTTACATGTATAATTTTGATGATAGTACCTTTTGCTCTTTGAAGCTTTTTGTTTTTACACAATCAAATCTATGTTTTATGGCTTATGTGCTTTCTTTGCTTACTTAATTTTTCCCAGTTCCAAGGTTATCCAGACGTGCTCCTAATTTCTTCAAAATGCTAATCATTTTATTATTTACATATGGATCTTCAATATAGCTGAATTAATTTTTGTCTCTAGTGTGTGGAAGGAATCTTATGTTTATTTCTAATGCGTGTATTTACGACTGAAGAGTAGTGTATCTTGTCATCCAGTGTACAAGACACACAATAGGTAGTGGTGGGGGACAGTTGCTAAAATGTCACCTTCTGTATACACTCATATATTCATTTCTGGTGTTTTAGAGAAGAAACTGGGGGCTTGTGGGTGGCACAATGGTTGGGGCACTGGATTCCCACATGGCCAACCATGGTTGGAGTCCCAGACCTGGTGGCTTGTTTTCTCACTTTCCCTTTCTATCTCTGGTGAGATTATGTATCACATTTAAAAAAAAAAAGATGATGATAAATAAAAATAAATAAACAGTTTTTTATTAAAAAAAAGAAAGAAAATGGGACCAGCAATTAGCATAATGGCTATGTTGCTAGACTCCCATACAGTCGAGTGCTGTTTGAGTCCTGGACCTGGTGTCTTAAACTCACACCTGGCGCATGTGTGTGTGCCCAAGATCCTGAGAGGAGAATGGAGGAGAAGGGATTGTGGCATGGCCATCCCTCCTGGGGGGTGATTTCTCGCTTTCTGTCTCTCTGTCTCTTTCTGTTTTTCTGGCGAGCGCATGCACCCTATAGCAAAAACCTCTCCAAAAAAAGAAAGAAAGAAAAGAAAGAAAACTAAAAATGTTGGGTACTATCAAGACTTGCTTTTGGAGAAAGAGGACTTGAGAGGATAATAATATGAGGGTAGGGCAGAACCAGCTGGTCTAAAAATCAACATCTGGATCATGCTATTTTTTTTAAATGAGTGGAACCCACATACCCTTGGCTTTGATTTGTCAAGCTTATGCATTAAAAATGATTTATAAATATCTTAGATAATTTTGGTTATCTTGGGGCCCAAATACTCTGGATGAGTTAGGAGGTGGTTGTATTCACTTTTTAAAAATCCCTTAAGCTTCAGACACCTATGAGCTGGGCATGCCCTCAAGATTTCTAGGTGGGTCACTGGAGGGTAGGAGTCTGGAAAACCAGGAGAAGGTAACACTTCCCTGGGAGGAGGCCTCTGACCCAAAGCCTTGCTTCACAAATACTACCGGGGCCACCAAAGCTTGCTGTACCCCAATACCTCTCCAGGAGAGGCAGTTATACCTGACCCCTTGACTCCTACAGGAAACAATCCCCAGCTACCGGGGCCACCAAAGCTTGCTGTACCCCAGTACCTCTCCAGGAGAAGCAGTTATACCTGACCCCTTGACTCCTGCAGGAAACAATCCCCAAAGGGGCTATTTATCTTGTCCTCTAAATTATTACACTTTGAACTTCTGTCTCCACCCCAAACACTTCCTCAGAAATTCCCTCCCCTTTCTTTGCTGGTCCCGACACAGATATTTTAATTAGTCTGAAGAAATCCCAGGAAGAACATGTCTGCATCAGAGTGTATGTACATATTAAATTTTAATAAACACCATTAAACTACTCTTATAAATGTTTTAGTTATTTATACTCCTCTGAATATTATGGGATAGAACTTGTCCCCACACTGTCACTGGACATTATTGACCTTATGCATTTCTAAAGATTTAAAAATGGTAATGTCATTTTTGTGGTAGTTTTAATTTCCACATCTATTACTCAAGATGAAGTGCCTTTTTAAAAATTTTATGTGACTATTGTTAATTTGTTTTATAACTTGCCAGTTTATGTTCTTTGCCATCTTTGTATTAGGTTATTATCTTACTAATTTAGGGAAATTGTTTGTATATTATATATGTTGAAATATTTCCTTTCAATCCATTATTTTGTCACATGCTCTTCTAAGCTGTCTTACATGTATAATTTTGATGATAGTACCTTTTGCTCTTTGAAGCTTTTTGTTTTTACACAATCAAATCTATGTTTTATGGCTTATGTGCTCTCTTTGCTTACTTAATTTTTCCCAGTTCCAAGGTTATCCAGGCGTGCTCCTAATTTCTTCAAAATGCTAATCATTTTATTATTTACATATGGATCTTCAATATAGCTGAATTAATTTTTGTCTCTAGTGTGTGGAAGGAATCTTATGTTTATTTCTAATGCGTGTATTTACGACTGAAGAGTAGTGTATCTTGTCATCCAGTGTACAAGACACACAATAGGTAGTGGTGGGGGACAGTTGCTAAAATGTCACCTTCTGTATACACTCATATATTCATTTCTGGTGTTTTAGAGAAGAAACTGGGGGCTTGTGGGTGGCACAATGGTTGGGGCACTGGATTCCCACATGGCCAACCATGGTTGGAGTCCCAGACCTGGTGGCTTGTTTTCTCACTTTCCCTTTCTATCTCTGGTGAGATTATGTATCACATTTAAAAAAAAAAAAAGATGATGATAAATAAAAATAAATAAACAGTTTTTTATTAAAAAAAAGAAAGAAAATGGGACCAGCAATTAGCATAATGGCTATGTTGCTAGACTCCCATATAGTTGAGTGCTGTTTGAGTCCTGGACCTGGTGTCTTAAACTCATGCCTGGCGCATGTGTGTGTGCCCAAGATCCTGAGAGGAGAATGGAGGAGAAGGGA